GCAAGAGTCCCTCCAGAGGAGACCTGAATACATCAAGATATCAACAAGTTGGTGGCAGCTGCTGAATTTTTGGCCAACTCCTCCCTACATGCTGCCCAGTTCTCCTCCAACATCACCTCCTGCCATTTATTATGGCTTTGCCAATGGCAGGAAGATGCCAAAACTAAGTGGAGATTAGCTTCAGCCCCGTATAGGGGTTCCTCACTGTTTGGGGAAGCTCTGAATCTCTTCCTCACAGAAAATAAGGACAAATGCAAAGTCCTGGCTTCAGTCACCAGAAGGGCTGACAGATGGGTAGTACCATATCTCATTTCTCCTTTCGCCCAGTGGACATCAGCAATGACCAGTCACAATTCCAATGACCTTTCCCCTTTAGATCTGACCATCAACAGGACAGATTGGGGCTTAGGTACAGGTACAGGCAGCAACCCAAGTCCAAGCAGCCCTTTCATGGCGCAGGGGTCGCCCCTTTCACCATTCCCAAGTGACTACCAGGACCCTTCTCCCATTGGAGGGCACCTAGCCCTATTTACATCCCAACGGGAAAAGACCACCACTGACTTGTGGGTTCTCAACACATTAAGATTTGGCCACATCCTAGAATTTCTCTCCATGCTTCTGAGGCACTTTATCCGTCGCTCCATCTCCAAGAACTCCACCAAGAGGAATCTGATGAACATGGCAAATCAACACTTATTGGACATCCACGCCATCCAGGCCTTTGGCAGGAGGGTGCTTCAGCGAGTTCATGTTGATAGGGGGACTCAAGACCTGACCAATTCCCGCCCATAGGGATAGCCAGGCTTTGGTATGTCCCATGTGTGGATTCTCCAATTGACGTGCTGGAGAAAGAGCATTGTCTTACCTGAACACTTCTTCTTAGCACGGTGATGGAGAATCCACTTCCCCCTTGGAGGCAATCAGGTCCCTCATCCAGGACAGGAAGAGCCAATGCCACCAAAGAGTCCTTCGGATACCTATGCCTTCGTTATGAACCGGGAAAGTGACAGTTGACAGAGGGGCATGGTGAAAAAATGAAGGATTCAGTCTCTGGGCAGAAAGACATGTATCTACCCCATATGTGGATTCTCCATCGTCGTGCTGAGAAGAAGTGTTCAGGTAAGACAACGCTCCTTTTACATCTTCCTGTGATGAAATGTTTTTTTCCATTTTTCTTTATTTGGGCTATATACACTTTCGTTATTCCACGTAGGTATGCTTTAGTGGTGTCTCATAAATTTTGTAGTGTGTATTGATTCTTATTCTCTTTGAGAAATATTTCCATTTCTTTTTTAATTGGTTGGGTATACTCTTTTTCTTTCAAAATTATGTGTATTCAGTGTCCATCTTCTATTTTTTTTTCTTTTGGCCTTTCCAAATTATTTTCAAAAGGTTGTGGTTTAAGTATTAGATATAATCTCTATTGAGTCTATATTATTTCCTATTTCTCTGTTCATCCAAACCATATAAATCCTAGATTTATGGGGGTTAGAATAGAAAGTGTATTTATTTTCTTTCAAATTTAGCTCTCTCCAACTGTCCCTCAGATTTAATTCATGAGTCATCTCGAAAAATGGTTTTGGCAAAATTTTCCTCTTATTTTTTTATTGTTTATGTAGTCTTTATTGATGTGTACCATTGCATTAAAGTTCTCCAGTAAGCAGATGTTCTCCCGTACTGTTTCTATTATTTTTTTCATGTAGTTTGCTATAAAATTTCTTTTGGTTGTCATTTGGGGCATAAATTACTACCAATAATACTTGCTTTTGTTGTATTTTAATTTCAATCATTAGTGTTCTTCCATTATCATCCGAGTAGATTTGTTTTGCTTTTAGCCTTTCTTTGATATACACTGCTATTCCTTTTCTTGTCAGCCAATGAGATGTAAAGTTTCTCTAATTTTACTTGTTCTAAATAATTCTTGTGCTGTTTCTTAATATGTACTTCTTGAAGACATATTATATCCGCCTTTTGTTTCTGTAAATTTGTAAATATTTGTTTCCTTTTTATGGGGGAATTCAGTCCATTGATATTTTTTGTTATTAGCTTAATCTCTTCTTCCATTTTATTGTCTATATGTCTGTCTCTGTCTTCTATTTGTCCTATTATCTCTCTGTGCTCTTGTTCTTATCCCCTCTCTTTCACCTCTTTGCTTCACTCTTCTTGCTCTAACTCTTTTTTTTATTGTTGTTTCTCTTGACTTCTGCTTTCTAGTTCTTTGCTGCTACATTTTTTTTCTGCTACTATGAATTGATCATAAAACTCTTGTGCCTTATCTAGGACTGAAGAAAAAACAATTACTACCAACCTGCCTTCAATGGAGGACCTGTATACTGTATACTGTCAAAAAGAGGGCTGTGAAAATATTTACAGACCCCTCACATCCCGGACATAAACTTTTTCAACTCCTACCCTCACAACAATGCTATAGAGCACTGCACACCAGAACAACTAGACACAAGAACAGTTTTTTCCCCCCGAACGCCATTAATCTGCTAAACTGTCCAACTATTTGCAAAGTCTGCGCTACTATTATTGATAATCTTCTCTTCACTCCTTATCATCCACTCGCCCCAAGACTGTAACTTTGTTGATTGTATCCTTATGATTTATATTGAGTTTCCTAGTATGATTTGATTGCTTATTGTACTCTATGACTATTTTTTTAAAATAAATTTTTATTGGTTTTTAAAAACAAACATAAACAAAACAAAAACATCAAGCCATCTTCCATATGTATACATACAGTGTGCCGGTTGGTTTACAAATTGTTTTGTGCTTCCATTTCTTAGTCCTCAATTACAATTACATTGCATATAATCTCGTATTTTCAATCAAAAATTAAATACCTTAGTATCATTATTAATCATTTGACTATACTTTTAATCATTCATGTTTTACAAGATAATCATAATTTACTTAGTTTGTTTTATAACAGTTCATATTATCACCCCAAATCTATCCTAAACTTATTTTGTAGATATAATAAGAAAGAAGTACATCTTTATACTTTATTTTCTAAGAGTCTACATATTTCATTACTGTATTTTATTGTCTAACCATTGATAGAATAGATCCAAAATTTTATAAAATTGTTTATCCTCTTGTTCTCTAATTTCAAATGTCAATCTACTCATTTCAGCACATTCCAATATTTTCTTAATGATTTCCTCCTGTGATGGTATTTTCTCATTTTTCCAGTTTTTAGCAAATACAATCCTAGCCGCTGTTAATACATTTACAATCAGGTATTTCAAGTCTTTACTATATATTTCAGGTAAAATTCCCAATAAAAATATCTCTGGTTTCAAGTCTATATGTTTTTTGTCATTTTTTCCAAGCACATGTGGATTTTAGTCCAGTATTTTTTAGCTTCCGCACAAGTCCACCACATATGGTAATGACTATTATTAAGTGTTGTACCTGATGATTCTGACTCTTGATGAATGTATCTTTTCTTTTATGCACACTGAAAGCATTTGCACCAAGACAAATTCCTTGTGTGTCCAATCACACTTGGCCAATAAAGAATTCTATTCTATTCTATTCTATTCTATTCTATTCTATTCTATTCTAT